CCTGAACTATACGTGGATTGGTTGAATTATATCTTAAGTTTTCTTTCCTGTATTATTAAACCTTTATAACATCACAAGTTCACAATAGAGCCACATAAAAGGGCACATTTGATCTCTTTAAAAAATGCAACTAAGTCAATTTTACTCAAAGTTCCACAATCTAAAGCTACAGTCTCATCTTTGTTCAGCAAAATGTTTCTATAACCATCTTTAGGCATCAATCTGATAAGAAATACTGTATCATAGTTTCAATAGTAAAATAGTAAATCTATTCAATTCAATTCAATAGTAAAATCTAATTTAATTATTTAACTATGATGGCTTGGAATAACATGTTTGCTTCCTTAATTTCAAGAAGTGCATTTTGGGTAAACTTTAAAGGGTCATATCAAGCATTCAGCACAATCACTCATCGGTGTAGCCACCTAATCACAGAGACGCCATATAAAGGCACGTGTATGAAGCAGACTTGTTTTTAAATAAAATGCTGTTATACTAGTCTGCACACAGAGTTCAGCATCCGTTATGACTGGATTTGTCTCTTCGCATTGATTACCCAGCAACAGAAGAATTAGACACATTTTTAATACTACTAAAAAAAATAAGTGATTCAGATGTGAGATAACCCTTTGATGTGATACTTCATGTTACGGTTTGGAGTATGTTTGTTTCTCTCACACAGCTGAGCCTGCGTGTGGGTTGGCAGGAAAATACAGGTCGGCCTGTGGGGATTTATTCATGGGGACCAGTTCCCCTCGACAATGACCTGATTCATTTATGACGTCCTGCGCTGTGAGACGATGAGGTCATTTCATGGATTCTTTCGGGCGGGATGTCAGACATGAATGGTGAGAACATGCGGCGGACCTCTGCAGCGCCACTCCCGTGGACACACACACGCTCACAGATACAGGACCACCACGGGATTCACACGGTCGGCCTTCGTGAGCTCAACATAAGCACAGAGCGCTGCAATAATTTATAACTGGCACAGAGCAGGAACCGGCTCTCTCTATGTGTGTGAGCCTGGGTTGTGACAGGGAAGGTCAGTGACCTCTATGACTTGGCTAAAATCCCCATGGGCCTAATTCAGCTCTGGAATGGACCCCACAGAGCAATGGGAAGATGGCTTCAACATAATGAACACAAAGGCCAATTGTGACGCTATTCTCTGCAGGGCAGAAAGCAGCGGGCCCCGGGGACAGTAGAAGGTTTGTTGGTTAAATCAGAGGAGGAAGCCTGTTGCTTCAACAAGCTTCTGATAAGATTCATCAGCAGTGACTCAACAGTGGCCGTTTGTCTCCTGGGGCACAAAGTGTTAGATTTACATCCACTGTTTCCACTGAGGGGCTGATAAGTGCCTCCCATCAGCCAAATCAGTGTCTTTTATGTATTAATAGTGTCCCCTTAAATTTTACAAGTAGCCCGTCATGCAGCGAGACTAACACAGTGTTTCTTGTAGTATATTTCCTATGGTCTGTGGAATAAATTGCCATTTCTTTAAATATACTGTAATTTTAGCATTTTACTGACTGTTATTGATGTATTCAGATGTTAGGTGCTACAAAAGCAGGATTGGCCCCATTCATCATTTCTTATTTTTTTGCATATTTATCACACCCAGATGCTTCAAATCACCACATTTTTATATTTGACAAAGATAAAGAAAAAAAAATCAGACTCAGATTTATTGCCATTCAATTATTGACATTATATCAACAAATAACCGATTCTTTAGGTCTTGGCATTTTCACCAAACAAGAGGTGAAATAATTAGCATAAACACTAGAATAATCTTTAAAAACAAAGCATTAAATATGCCAAATAAAAGTAACGAATAATCCTCATCATGCCATCTGACTGGTTACAAATTCATTTTGCAACACGACTACAACAACATACCGCCAGAAACATGAAGAGCTGTCTTTACTGGGAGACTGTGACTCCACCGTTATGGATGTAATAATTGAAAGTCCTCTGACTTTGCCTTGCACAAAATCAATAGAGAACAATTCATTGAGCAAGCACAAGAGTGGATGTCTTTAACCCTCATCCACCAGAGGATGTTTTAAATCAGCAGACATGTACAATAAATTCTGAATTTCTGCCTCTCCCTCTGAGTCAACCAGCAAGCCGATAAGAGAGGAGACAGAAAGGCGAGAACAAAGTGGGTGCTGCCAACAAGAAGGCAAACAAATGCTAACACTGCTGCTACTGCCAAAAAACGCCCATCCCCACAACTTATTACCCTTTTCTTGGACTCATTCAAGGTTTTCATCATCTGCCGAGCCACCACACCCCCAGTGAAAAGGCCCTGAATGTGTCTGTATGATTAGATGGTGGATTTAAAAAAAATGAAGCAACAAGATTGGGCTTTTCTTTTTCTGCAGAAAGACTAGAAATGAAGCTTTGTGCAGGTCCACTGCTGTGGCACATTTGACAGGTCTGGCCTGACTGCTTTTGTGTCAGCAGCATAAAGGGGATTGAGAGAAAACACAAACCGCGTCACTGTGCTGTTGTGGCGCCTGGCTATTAGTCAACGTGACGGTCTTTGCAGATGCTAATGGGTTATAGTGTGTCCAGGCCGGCCTCCCTCGCTCCCTGAACATGGCTATCTGATAGCACAAAGGCCTTCTGCTGAAGGTTGACTTTTCCCCCTTTCTTTTCATGACTGCTAGAGTCATTAGGCTTTTTTCTTTTTTTTCACTTTGTTTTTAAGAAAACAGCGGGATATAATAGTAGGACAGAAAGAAGCATTTTCATGTGTAAAGCCTCAGGTGATGGTTCAGAGGCTGATGCCCTTTGAGTAATGCAAGGATGCAATAACAACCAGGCTCTTGTGAAAGAAGAGAAAATGCCCAGAAGTGGAGGACCTCTGGACTCTGACTTATTAATCAGGCAGAGCCTCTCCCTGCTGCCTCGGGCTACAGTGAGTTTCAGTCTGATCTGGGATAAGATAGCAGCCTGCAGAGTTTGTTCAAACCCGGGCCAGGGGCTTCACTCCAAACAGCAGCAGCCAGCTTTATGATAAAAGTACACAACATGATAAATCCATACATAGAACACATAGACGCTTCATCAAACAGGGAAGTAGCAAGCTTGACATCACCCCCGACTTGTTCTGTCTTCAAACTTCAGGCTGAGTATTTTTACTATTGCCACGAGTGTGCTTTTAAACCAGATGTGATGAGCGTGGGGCAGATTTGTATGTCTATATGATATTCACCTGTCAGCCACAAGTAGGCTGTTTATTCATTTCATTAAATTTTCATTCAATAATGAATGAAACTAGTGATTGAGACCACAAAATTATCAGTAAAGCATTTACTGAGAAGGTAAATTAAAAAAACATCTGTCTTTTATATACGGTTCATGTTACAGAGCAGACAAACACTGAAGGTTCAGACAGATGGAGTCTCGACTCTTAATATTTTATTACGTACACCTTGCTGGTACTGGACTAGATCCCCTTTACCTGCCTTCATTCTTCATGGTGCAACAAGATGCTGGAAACATTTCTCAGATATTTTGGCCCATGTTGACATGATAGCATCACACAGCTGCTGCTGCTTTGTTGGACATCTTTCATGAGATGCTCCTGTTGTACCTCACTCCAAACATGCTCTACTGGTGTGTGATGGCTGCAGCTACAGCCATACAGTGGTAATATCTACCAAACATCAGGGTGTTTTTTGTCTGCTGATCAGCCACCATTTATTTCCCCTTTGTCTCTTTAGGCAGGTCTGCTTGTTTGAGTTTGTATTATTGGGTGTCATCAGCTTTTGAGTAGAGTTCTGTTACTTTGACCTCTTCTATGGGCCCAAGATTTAGATTTCTCTGCATAATTTAACCACGTTTGTGTTTGGGTTAAACAAAAAGACTTTAACCTGTGCCTGGCTTTCCTTCACTGCTCGGTCCATCACATGGTGACTGTGGAGGCCATCCGAGTACAGTAAACTCAGTTTTGTAACATGGTGGTTATCCTGCTTTCATGTTGTTTTTATGCTTAATTCTGCCATCTGAATGTTGCAGTAGGAAATCAGACTCAGAAGAACAGGCAGCATTTTTTCTTCTTTTCCCTGGTTTTGGTGGCTCTGTGTTAATTGTAGCCTCAGTTTCCTGTTGTTAGCTGACAGGAGCGAAGCCTGCTGTGTAGCACATCTGCATCAAGGTTTGCCATACTGTGCACTGACAGATGCCTTTCTGCATACTTTGGCTGTAACAAGTGGTTATTCCAGTTAATCATGTCTAGAGTTTCTGTCATGTGATTGGCTAAATAGATATTTTTATGAATGTGCAGTATAGGTGCACCTAAAGACTGACAAGAATGGAAGGAAACTACGTACAGTTAGTGTACTGGAGGCATTATAAGAGAATCATAAAGAATTCTGCCTTAAACTCATTGGGAAAATTTATTAAGAGCAAAACAGCCGAATGAGATGACAAGAGGTTCTAGTGATTCTAAGAATTTACTTTATTTCTCTGTGACCAAGGAAATGAATGATTATTTAAATTGGAATAGCAGTTTGTAGGACGCTGAAGTGCTGGTTAATACAATACCCCCTCCACTGCTGGATGGCCAGAACAGCTGCTCTGTGGATTAAACTGCAAGCTAATAAGCTCACAGTGATAATGTTCACATGCAAACAGGTAGACTGCACAATTTTAGTTTACCCGTTAGTCTATTAACATTAAAACAACCTATTAAAGTTTTTTTCATGTAATTCAGAAAATCATAGCAGCACAAAGCTATCACGAGTCACCCAGAAAAAGCAATCATCTTGATGATGGTACCTTAAACAAATCAGAGGGTCACGATAGTATAATTAGTCATGTTTTGGATCCTGAATATAAAACTGTTATGTCAGTGTAGACTCACCTGAGTAGCATTGTTAGAGGCCACTAGCATGAACCAGCAGGCAAAACTGCAAAAAGCTTCCAGTGCTGCAAACATCGGTTTAACGCTGACATGTCATGAAACAACCAAACAAACGAAATAATGATTTCTTTGTCAATTTTATTTTCAATTTGTACTTTTAAACACAATTTAATAAATAAAGCACAGCGGATGGGATACACCATGCAAACATTATTTTCTACAACATAAAACACGTTTTTGAACCAACTCAACAACTCTGTTACACAGTTCTGCGTTCAGGTGCTGTACATGATAGTAGCTCCACGACTGCCCATTAAGTTTTATATTTTATCTTTTCCCCATGTACAGATAGGAAGGAAGGAAGAGGAACTAACACGGTCTCACCACCCCCCCCCCTTCAGGCAAATATAAACAGTTTTCCCAGCTTGGTACAATGAGCAGATGTCTACGTGGGTGATGGAGGTGCAAGATAAGAGGGGCTGAAGATAAGAACGAGGAAAGAGCAAAAAGACTGGAAACGAGTGGCTGATGGGAGAATCTGTGATTTGACCAAAGCATTTAAAATCTTCCCTTCCTCTTTTCTTCTTTGTGCGCGATCAAATGCTTAAGCTACAACAGCATAAAGAGGGGACAATCGTGCCTGTGCTGCATACACAAACATTACCGCGAAAGAACATGAAACCTGGTGTAGGTTGGAACCAAACCCACCCTGAGTGACTGGACACTGGACCGGGATGGACTAGACGAGTCCACAGAAATGTGCGATAACTGACAGATGATATCAGCTCTGATCTTTCAAAGGTTATGTAACCTGTTGTGTTTGTTTACTGAAAGCGCCTCAAGCAAACTGCAGAGGTCTTTTTAGTAAGGTGTTTACATTATGCTTAAGTATTCTAAATTAATTCTTAATTAATTTAGAATACTTGTTTTTGTATTGCACAAACCAAGAAACGCCACATAGACAGATCTGCATGGACTCAGACATTTGAGCTTGGAGCTAAATCAGGTAATTGTATGCAAATACTTAATTTTTGCTAATTAAACTTCAAAAGAACCAAATAATAAGAAATAAAATCAAAGTGTTGCATTGTATATTGTATATCATATCCTCTTAATCCTGCAAAGAAGTAGTATGCAGTATTAATTGACTATGTTCTGCAGGTTGCAGAAGGAACACCTAATTTAGGGGAACATATAGCCTGCATGGAGAATCCCCTCGCAGCACAGAGAGACAACGGTAAGTGCTTTAAGTTGGAAGTGCAACCAAACTAAACCAAGACTTGTTCTGTGCCTACCAGCCTACTAACTTGGCATGTTTTAGGAGCACCAGGTGAGACAAAAGGAGCCAATGGCAATAGGGTCTCTCTGTACACAGATCAGTGAATACACACCTGCATAATTACATATACACAAAGAAAACCAGGACATAACGTAAAGTGGAAAAGAAATAAGAAAGTTGGAGATAAACATGTACACAATTTACTCATTTATTGAAAACAAGCGGTCAGACGTCTGTCAGGACTCTGCAAGCTTCTTATTAGGTTTGGGCTCCTGTACAGAAGTCCCTCTGGTCACCCCAAGAAAAAGTTACAAGAAAATCGCAGAGAAAGCCTGAAAACTGTTCCTTCATCTTATCGCTCTGTGCAGGTCCATCTCTCCATAGGTGTCCGCGGGGTGGAGGGGTGGGTATGATGTGTGTGGTGAGTGTTTGGGGCGAAGACAGTCATTTACAGATGAGTCGTCTTTGCTCAGTGCATTTCTCTGTTGTGATCCAAACTTTATTTTCAAGAGCTCTGATAACAACAAGAATATAAGACGGGCTGCGTTTAGTGAACAGGGCATCAGTTTGGTTAGGAGCTGACAGTTACAGAGACAAATACCTGGTTCATCTATTTCTCCTTGTGAAGAGCTTCTATGAAGGCTTCAAGTTTCTCCTGGATCTCACGAACTTTCTCTGCAGAGAAGCAAACGGTGGGTTTGTTAAGAGAACAGAATCGTCAGCAAACACAAAATTAGCTGGCAATAACTTCAGTAACTTTAAAATTGTTTGTCCTCCACTAATAAAAGAAACCACAGAGGTAAAGTTAATATATTACTGGGAACACGTCATACTTTTTAATCTCCGAGGACCTGGCGTCCACGTATGTGGACATTACACTTTGGGTTGTCTAGACCAAAATAATAAATTTTGCTCTACAAGGGCCTGATATCCACTTATGAGGATGTTATACTGCCACTGTTCTATTGAAATTTGAAGCAAATGTCCTCCTACGGGGATCTTATTTTTCTCAGAAACAAAAATGAGGTGAAAAGAAAAGAAAAAAAAATAAAATCACATCATTCTTTGTTTTTACATTCATCAGGTCCCAATCAGCCCAAATAGCAAAGAGAAATTAAAAATGAATGCCATGAAAGAGTTCAGGTCTTAGGAGGTTAATAACACAGTAAAGTAACATGTTACTGTACGAAATTGAGTAATTAAAATGACCTCCTAAGACCCGAACTCTTCCACGGCATGCATTTTTAATTTCTCTTTGATATTTGGTCACATTGGGTCCCAATGAATGTAAAAACAAAGAATTACCAGAATTTTTTTTTTACATTATTTTTAAGAAAAATAAGAGCCACATATGAGGATATTAGTTTAAAATTTTAGAGCCTTGTAGAGCAAAATTCTGTATTTTGGTCAAAATAACCCAAAATGTGATGTCCACATATGGCCTGGTCCTAGGAGGTTAAAGTTACAATTATGTTGTTACTTGTGTCGAGTAGTTCTTCAGTTATCAGCATGTCAGGCAGACAGAAAGCAAATAAATAGAATGTAAAAAACAACATGAGCTGATTTCAGTTCATGACGATGTTATAATATTTATTTATTGTGATTTGCCTGCCACAGAGAAAAAACCCCACTTAAAGTTTTGTACATTATTTTTACAAGAGCACAACAATGAAGTTCAAACTGCATCCAGGACAGAAACAACCACATTATTACTGCTAACACAAACTCAGCTCTTTGCAACCATCTGCACAGACAGCATGCTAACACAGAGTGACCCAAGAACCCAGAGTGATGCTGAAGCTGACTGTATGCTGACACCAGCCCAGCAGCCAGAGCCTGAACTTAACATAACAAAGGCAGTGATGACCAATCTGGACTTTAAGCCTCCGTTTCTACCTGTTCATGTTTCTAAGGTAGAATCACTGTGAAGATTGCTTTGAAGTCTCTCTGTGAATGTGTTCATCTTTGCGTTGTGTTACTGGCTTTGTGTTCATACTTAAATACTAAGAGAAAGTACGTACGTGTCCTCGTTAGGATGGGGATTTGTGTTGGCGTGTGGAGATGTGACCTGAGATTTATACAGTGAACTGGTAATTATGCCACTTTGGCTTTCAGATCATCGTACATGTGAGGAACATAACAGTAATTAATGAGTTGTGTGACGAGTAATTAAATAACGTACTGCATTACTGTTAAAAAAAAGTAGCAGCTAATGAATTCAGCTTTTGTTGAGTAATACAAGTTATCTGATTTGTCTTTCTCTGTTACATATACAAAAACTATAACTATGTGGACAAATACTGAGCTTTTATTTGCTTGCAGAACTTTACTGTGATTTCCTGTGCATCAGCCAATTTTCTTTAAAAACTGAGAATTTGATTTCTGCAGCTTTTGCAGTTAAGAAAACACTAAAATGTCAGTAAACAGAACCAGGATGAGGTGGAGGTTTAATAAATCTGCTCTCATTCCTGTGATATACCTCTACAGTTAGACACTTCAACACATTCTCCACCAATACACCAGATGGTCCCCTCTGACAGTGACAGCAAAACCTCAAGGCAGGCCTCCTTCGCACATCATGATGACGGCTTGCGTACCCATTCCCGGTTAGCACGGACCACATCAAAGCTCTCGCTCCCCAAAAAAATACTATGTACCTTCAGGGCAGACACGAAGAGAGACACCGTAACAACAACATTTCACATAAATGGGGGTCTACTGAAGAAATAGTCACTCACTTCTTTTCGTGATTAAACTCCTATTGTCCTGAGACTGCGTAAGACGAGCAATCCTTCCACCCAACGTGTACTGTCACACGAGATGAGCGAGCCGTCTAAAGCGGACTTAATCGCTGATTAAACAGTGGTGGAAGGAAGTCTGCGGGCCAGCGCGGGAGAAAAGGAAGCCGTGGCTTGCGATGCCAGCTGTACCTCCAGGCCCGGCTGGCTGGCTGCGCAGCTTCTCTGTCACCCTTGTTAATCTGTCTGGATCTCCCCCAAGCACAAACTCAAACATGAGCTCTGAAAAACAAACTAGCAGTGCACTATATTGATCAGTCAGCGGCAAAGAGATCCAGAGACGAACCATTGTCGATTGTTTTCCTACGAGGCAGGCCGCAGAAAACACGGCTTTTAAAAGACTTTTAAAGAAGATAAATCACTGAGGCTTGGACCCCGGAGCAACAGTGACCAAAGTGTCCATTTCACATCAGTACAAAAGTGATAACTGCGTGCGTGCTTTGCAGTGAAACTAAATATCACACTCAGGCGCTTGTTTGCAGCCCCCCCTTTGAAGGGAGCATGGCTGCTTAGGTATCCTTTCCTTGATTGATGGGAAGAGAAACAGTTGTTGGGAGAGATGAAGGCACGCCCACACTTATGTCCTACAAAACTGAAAACTGGCAAAGCTGAGAAGTCCTGGATTACAAAAATAACCTAAAAAAAAAAAAAAAAACAGACACACACACACACACAGGTAGGCAGAACTGAGAAAAACTGACTGACAGCCAGAAAAGCTTGGCTGTGAGACGCACACACCACCCAAATGTCTTGAAAACCAGCAAGCGCTGCACAGTCATGTCACCTCCACCTTTTTTCACCTTCCCACACATTTACCGCTGGCAGGTGGCAGGGAAAAAAAACGAAGGAAAAAAATCCCCGGCCTTTGATACTCCGTTAACACACTCGGGCAAAATGGCAGGGCGTTAGGGGGAGATTACAACACCTAATGGAGGCATTAAAGGGGGCCTGTCGAGGTGCACGCTGACAAGTCGCTGCAGCAGGTGTGGGGCTGAATGAAACCTAAACCTCTGGTATGCCATTCGAACACGCAGCGCACAACAAGGCACGGCTCAAAGGCTGCTCGCAGAGTTTGGCTTCACAGGCTGTGTGTCCTGACCACAGGACAACATAACTCAATCCGACCCAATAAGAACGGGATTAGCAACATCTGTCCGACGTGAAGAAAGAGATGGGAGTTATGGGGTGAAGGGGGAGGTGAGGGGGTTTTGGCTGGTGTGAGGAAAGGAGGATACTGGCTGTCAGATCATCAAAAACTTGGGAAATCCCCTGGCTCAAGCTTCAAAGCTTTGCAGTGGGTTTAGATGTGGCTGATGATAAGGTGCTCTATAGAGCTTCAGCATTTCAAATATAGACTGCTTAGCACAGGTCAAACATTAAGGATCCTTTCCAGCTACCAGGCAGAGATGCTGAGCTCTGCTAGCTCACTGGAGGCAGCAGTGGTCTAGAGGTGAGATTAGGGGGTTTGCGATAAAGAAAAGACACTAGTCTAATTTCCCGAACCGCCTGAGAAAGCTTACACTGGGAGGGTGAAATCCACTCTTCTATAACACCTGCTGCTGAGGCAACTGAAAACCCATCACTCATCCAGTGGACCACAGTATTATCTAACTCCTATCAAGTTAAGTAGATGTCATTACTATTCAGGTGTATTTAGAGAATAATAGTGGTAGAGAGCTGCTGAATGCAACTCTTTTTCGCTGCCTTGGGGGCGAAACGGTAATTTGCCGGTCACCATTATATTTTGGAAATATTCGACAATGGCTTGTTACTGCATTACAAATGCTATTCAAACTTTATTTTAAGACTCTGACATCTGGGCCTGTAGGGAAGCTGTCAGAGCTGGTTTGGTTGATTATGTTGTGAAAGGGTTACAGGCTTCACGCCGACAGTTTGTTTACTCTGTTACAAATTCATTGACGGGTTTGTAAACTTAAAGCTTTTACCTGTGATTCTGCTTAATGTTTACGCAGAGACAATGTTCAGCCCGCTTACTGGTCAGGACGGGAGCAACAAAAGTAAACACAGGAAGCAGGTGCTGTGTTCTGGACTATTGGACAGCATGAAGAATTTACATTTACAGCTAGTTGCTAGCCCATAGAGATCTTTAGCTTGCCTCATCCCAGAACAAGAAGCTGTTTTTAGCTCATACTTACAATGTACACCTGGTAGTTGTTCAGATCGAGGTCGGAGCACGTTCACACCATAAACGAACCGCTCCGGAGACCCTCCGAAGGGTCTCAGTGCGGCTGTTCTGGTTAGCACCCGAGTGTGATTACTGTCTTCACCTCTACGCAAATGAACTGCACCGAAGAGGAAAACAAACCAGTTCGATTTAAGCAGACTAAACACCACAGACGTGAAAACACCTGACACATGGAATAGCAGGAAAGCACTCTGATAAAACAGGCTGGTTGCTTGTAAAGTTAGATCCGTGTAAAAAAACCAAAAGCATACATGAAGTATAATGGCTTCAGGTAGACTGTAGCGGAGTTTGCAGTAAAGCAAAACGTTGATTTATGAAGTAACTTGCTGTAATTCATCAGTTCCACTTGCAGCCATGCTCAATTAGCTGTACATCAAATAGCCATATATATTTTATTTAGACTAGATGTAGATCAAAGGAGCAAAGCCCATTTACCATTCTCTTAAAGCAGGATGCTTAACGACTTTAAAATGAGCAGCTTTCAGGAGCCCAGGAGGACACGGGTGGATGTGAATGGCATCTTTCAGAACAGCCAATATTTTCTGTGGATAGAAACTGTGAGGAACAGATATTTATTCCCTCCTTTACCATCTGTTTGCTACCAAAGGACCGGATAAAAAAAAAAAAGGCCACAACAAGGCTTTCTTTTCACCGTCCTGTGGAAACGCAAC